AGTGCACTGTTAGCATTCTATTTGTTGTTAGCATTACCATGGCAGCAAAACTAATTAGGATACCTGGAATGCAAAAGGTAAATGAGGAATAACTTAGGCTACGTTCACACTGCAGCCTGAAGTGACCCAAATCTGATTTTTGGCCCCTATGTGACATGTATCTGATCTTTTAATGACAGTCTGAATGATACAGGTCTGATTTTTTTATATGCGACCCAGGCCAAAGAGGTTTGCTACTGTGCGGTAACAAGCACCTGTTGCAAGCCAATACAGCCCAACGCCGATGTGTTTACTGACGGAAATAATCTGTCGAAGATGTGTTTCCTCCTGCGATAGTGGCACAAGTAGGCACTCACAAATGTACACAAACGTTCTTCTCGTCATACGAAAATTGTTAATGAACTCCGTGTCACTAAAGCGAAGCACATTGCTGTCCCACCACTCTTGGCTACATCTCCGCATCCACACGTTCCTTTCAACGGACGTTGCTGCCAAAACACTCCAGGTATGCTTTTGATTATGTCTTAATGTCTTAAAACTCTTAAGTGCCATTTTTTTGAGTATATAGGACCTTTAAACTGTGCTTTGTGAATTATTCCAATGTAGATCCACACATGTTATAACCACGAACAGCATTTCAAGAAAGAGGAGCATAAAGTTATCCGGTGGCATTTCTGTTATAGAAACTTGAAAACACAACAACAGACTTTCACCTGTCACACTCCCAAGGTTCCCCAGAGAATCTTTTACAATAGAAATATCAAATCCTCTTCCCTATATATACACTACAGGTTCTTCCTTTCTCCATCCGTGCAAATGCATTTCCCATACATCCCTTGTTGAAAATCTGATTGTGCTTAAAATATTTCTTCACACCTTAATTCTGAATAAAAACAAATCTCATGAGATATAAAGAGGCTGAATAAAGCTCATGTGTGGAAGCAGCACAGGTACAGCTCTAGAGAGGCTCACAGCAAATGCACTAAAGAGACAATGCCTTCTGAAGGACATGGCAACATTATATAGAAAAATAGCATTGCAGCTTATACCCCCATCAATTTATTAGATCAACATGACAAATCTTCAAAGCGATATAATAATGTATTTAGAGAGCTGGGCGTAATGTAAATGTGGTCAGGTACTGCAAAAACAAACAAGCCCCCCCCCCCAATTGTACGCATAAACACATAAATCAATCAATTAATTATAAAAAATTTAAATAAACACATAAATAAAAAAAAAATCTATATTGATATAACTCATCGTTACTCATTGTCCTAACGTGTAAATAGCACCTATATGGTTTGATATAAAATGTCTGAAGAATGCAAATGAAAGCTAATTGTGTTAAATTTGAAGATGAGGGTGGGATTAAAAAAATTTTCCTTCTTCCCACTCCTTTTTGGGCAATTTTTTTGCTTGCTGTTGTTCTTGTTTCTGTTGTAATGACCGCACTGATGTATGGAAGTTATTATGTTCCATTGTAAAGGAATATAAAATGATTAGTTGCAAAATAAGTACTAAAAATAATAAATAAATATATGTATTCTTATGTTATAAATAAGTTTCATGTATGTAACATTCTTATGTTTATGTCATCACATTATTGTTGACATCAGCTAAGAAACATACATTGTTTTGCATTAATACCAATTTCAAATCCGTTATTTCTTGTTATACATACATTGTGTGTTGTCTGTCGGAAACCAGCAAAGAGGACATATGCAGTGATATGTGTGCAAATGAAAAATAAAACCGCGAATAAATTAAGAGTTAATGCTACAGTGGCATATTACATTTACTGAGGTTAATGATGGCTATTTCCTCCCATTCCTCAGCATCCTGGAGCTGGAGTAATGAAGTGCTAAAGAGTCATATTAACAGGGCCCTAACCTACTGTATCACATATACATCCCCCTATTATTGTTGTCATGCAAAGATAATGAGGCAAACTCTGTGTATTAAGTTCAATTATCTGGTAGCTTCAATCACGTTGCAGCATATAATGAAATAGGTGGTACTTTTCATTTAGTTGAAAATTAACAAAGGAAATGTGATATTTTTTTAATCTGGAGAAATGCAGTCATACAATTTGCATTTAAACTACAATCTTGAACCTACAAAAAGTGCAGCACAATAAATATGCATTAAGCTTTCAAATTACACTCTTAAAAATTTTATGTTAAGTACCATATTTTTCGGACTATAAGTCGCACTTTTTTTCATGGTTTGGGTGGTCCTGCGACTTATACGCCAGCGCGACTTATATATTCAAATTGTCACACTGACAGCCGCGAGAGGGCGCTCTAGGCTTCTAGAGATTCTCCTATTACTTCTGTACCTCTGTCACTTTGCCCTCTACTGCACATGTCTCCTGCAGAAAGGCCACTGTCCTGCTGCAAGTAACAAAATATTCAGCCAAAAATGGTAATAGAGCAGCAGAAAGAAAGTTTGGAGTGAGCGAGAAACTTGTGAGTTGTCACTGGCTAAAACCGGGCGGGTGCGCCATGCAACTTTCCTGGAAGTCATTGGTTGGATCGACAAAAACTAGGATGCTTGGAATGCATAAGGTAGGGTAGGAATCACTTTTGACCACTGCAAACCATTTCAAATGAACTAACTCTGTTTTTTGTGTATATTTTCCATTTGAAGTACATTTAAAAACACATTTTATTCAGACTGTGGTATTGCACAAAGGTAACCCCTCCTTTCACCTCTCGTCTTTGTCATGTGCCATGCTTTGATCCTGTGCCTGTTCTGTACCACATCAGCTGAGGAGTCAACTGTAAATGCATGAAGCACCTATGATGGAGGGACTATAGAGCTCTGCGCTCTATTGTACTAATTTCAAAGATGTTCCTACATTTGGTATTTCTATCCACATACTCTGAACAAACAGCTTGTGCAGAGAAAGCTTTATTTCAATGGTTCAGTGTCAAGGTAAATGCAGAAGAGGGCGTTTCATTCAGATTCGTGCCCTGCATGAGTCAGTTTGTCATTTACATTTCTAAAGATTATATTTTATGTGCAAAACAGATGTCATTGAACACACAGAGGATTTGGTTATGAAATAGAGGGTTTTTACCAGGTGGATTCATAAACATAGTCAAAGAACTGTGATGTTAAGAAGATTTGAGAAAAGGTAATACCCAGGTATGCAGGATCTGTCAGCTACAATACAGCTTTTAGATCATGGTTTCGAAAGCATTTATTTCTGAAAATGTTGGGATGCAAGGAAAAAAGTATCAAAAGCATAAACAAAATGACAGCATAGAAACAGTGTAAAAATATGACAACTAATATTACATTTTCAGTTTTATGCATCACATAAAGTTGATAAAAGACTGTCACATATTTGGTTGCTTCCATTGATCTGTACCAAGTTTTGATTTATTTATTTGTTTTAGGAATTTTTATTTCAGTTTTTTAGGTATGGCTATAAGTTAACACAGTGTAGCACAAGACTGACTTATTGGTACTTTGCAGCTGATGTCAACATTCTCTGGGGGTGTGATGCTAACTGTAGGCACTGCTCTGTCTAAGGATTTGTTAGACATGAATCTAAGCTTTGTTTTAACACAGTCTCACCAGAAAGAATTGACTTGGAACTGCAACTGTAACAAATGAGCTAATTTGTGGTGTTAAGCAAGTCCCTCTCAAATAAAATTACAATCACATGTCAGTTAGTATTAGCCAGCAGTTTTTCAGTTAGTCACTCTCACTTTTTTGCTGAAAATCAAACACCTAAACAGAACCATAAACCCTCGTAACCCCCGGCTTAAATCCATTTTGTATTTTTTCTCAAGTTTTGGGAGAGTCTAAAAATGTTTTTGATAATGTTTGCTAATGTGTGCATTGTGTCACCATGGTAACTGCGGAAGAATCCACAATAGAGATATACGTAGAACACCCCTACCATGATGTCACTGCAAAGTATCAATAGCAGCCTGCTCATAGCTGCCAGAGTATTACAATAATGTACTTTTAGGTTGATGTGGGAAACTGGTACAAAGGTACAAAGAGAAACGTGATCAGGCAAAGAGCTAACCGCACTGTCAGGTTGTAATATGATATATTAAGCTGTTTGTTGTTTCAAGCACTATAGGACTAAACCCTGTCTTCAACAGAATGAAACCACATCTTTAACGGGACTAAACCAGGTCTTTAACAGAATGAAACCAAGTCTCAGTTGGGCAAAAACAAGGCCTAAAAGAACTACACCACAGAAGACGGAAATCTAATCATAAGTGAAGTTTGTAAGTTACCACAAAAGCACAAATCTATTAAATGATAGATCACAAATACAGTAACTCTTAACAAGTGTTCCTCAACCTTTTTTCTCGTAAGGACTGGTAATAAACATACCTTTTTTCAAAGAGTGGTGAAAGGAGGCAGAGCGAGTAATGATAGCACAAAATTCTTATAACTCTTAACATAGTTTGAAAAATGTGTAATAATAAACATGTTGTAGGTTAATTTGCATTTTTTTTTAGGTTAAAGGTGCACTGTGTAATTTTTCTGATGAAGGGTCCGTCAAATGCTTGTGTCCATGCAGCTGTTACTGCTTTATCAGGAATGTTTCACAGTATGGCATTAAACCTTTCTATCTTCATGGAGACCAAACCAGACCAAGTTACAGGTCAGATCTGTGGAGAGGCAACACCGCTCACAGTCAGAATGTCTGTTTTTGTTGGTATTTCTGAGCTTTAAAACTACCTGTAATTGAATAAATGTCAGGTCGAGCTGTTTAATGTCATACTCTGGAACATTCCAGGCAGAGCAATGACATATACATAGAAACAGGCAAGTGACGGACCATCCACCGGAAAAATTATACAATGCACTTTTAATTTGCACAATATTTTCAGATTAAATATGGTAGTATAGACTAAAAGGAGTTTGACTTCTTTTTTATAGATAGATAATAGTTTTCTGTGATTGGGGACCCTGCTCTAAGGGACAAATCCAAAAGAGAGAAATAAACATGAAGACAAAAGTGATTGAAATGAAAAACAAATGCCATCTGATTTATTTTTATTATATTTTTACATTTACTTTCTAACAAAACAGCTTATCCCAGACTTCCACGCTCATGATTGCGTTGCCTAGGGGACACATAGCAGCTTTAATATCCAGGAACTTTCCCACATAGTTGATCCCTGACCCCTTAGCTTCATCTCGAGTAAAACCTTGTGGATTTTTGTCATAGTACATCTCTTTGAACAGATCTTTGTCACAGTTACGCCCCCTCGGGTAGATGCCCACTGCAAACCAGTTCTTGTACAGGTTGTAATCCCAGGGAATGGAGAACATGATGGCCAGGGTCTCAATGTAGTCATTGCGTGACCTCTCAAGCAGGTCGTAGGTCATGACCCCCACAGCGCCGGTCGCTTTGGAGGCGCTCTTGGTGAAAGTGCAGACCTCTTTCATATGGGGGCGCACTGTGGGCTGTGGAGGGTTGTAGACCTCACCATTGTCCAGATACACCCTTTAAAAATAATAAGTTCAGTTGTTATTGATTCATATTGACAAACTGATTTGATTATTACATATTTTTTAGGTACTGTTTCCAGTACATTTCCTTTGTGAATCAATAAGGTTTGTGAAAGACTAGTGAGTTAACAGAAATATAAACTACAAAAGCAAAAAAAAAAAGTTTGTATTCTATCAAATGAAAATATAGTATGCCTATTATTATTATTATTATTATTATTATTATTATTATTATTATTATTATATTGTAATTATGTTATAATATTGTATCCTCGTCAAAAACACACCTGGAGTTGTGTTTAGTTTCATTCACACATGTTAAACACAAATCCCTCATAATCAGGCTCTGCTTTTGAAACCTATGAAAACACTCCACCTTGTGATGTCATCATAGTAACACAGGAAGTGCTCCACCGTGTTTTAAACTCCATACACCTTCTCTAGAATCATTTGCATGATTTCAGTCATGGAATTTCTGATCTCTACTTTACTAAGGGTAAAAAGTTGTAAACTATTACTAAATGACGTCACAAGGTGGAACAGAGCATTTTGAGCTTTGGAGATATAGACAGACTAACAATAAAGGATTACTCAGACACATATGAATGCAACAAAACACATCTCCAGGTGTGTTTTGAGGATGTAACAGTATAATAACATGGCTTAAAGCTCACAAGTGTCAATGTTGCGTAATATAAGGCCTTTAAAAAGACACGTTTGAGTTAAGGTTAGTTATTATGTTTTTGTTTGTTTGTTTGTTTTTCATTTCTTTTATCTTAATATTGCTTTCTCCTTTCTGTTCTGTGTGATATTAATGATCAATTTGTCTCCCATTTACATAATATTTCAGAGTTGAACCGAAATTAAAATGTTATATATGTCATATTAGAAAGTCACCTGGGATTTAGGAGGCAGTAGTTGTTGGTGACATTGGCGATTTCAATGGTCACACTTCTCTTGCTGTCCACATCAGCGGCCACATCTGCAGCTGATTCTGTCATGGTTCAAAGAGATCTATAACACATAAACATGTATTATAAGTTTAACATCATTTATTGGATTTTCTAATGCATTTTTTTTTTTAATGTTTCATATTTAACATTATATTAAAGTTACTGAAAATGTATAACAAGAATTAGTGATGAGGTGTGGCGAAAACAGAAAATAGAGACTTTAAATTTCTTTAACTGTGCACTTTGTAACTCTGGTGGAGGCTGTTGCTTTGCCTAGAATATTCCACAGTCTGGCATTAAAATTATCTCCTGGGAGTCAAGGATGTGACACAAGTTATAGGTCTGATCTGTGGAAAGGCAACCCCGCCCACTGTAAAAAAAGAAAGGGACTTAATGCAAAATGGAATGTCCTACATCTCCCATCTCCTACTTTGTGATGTCATGTGGTGGTAGTTTTCAAGTTCACAGATACTTCTTATTTTTTGAGATTGGAAATTCTAGGGTTGAAATGATCTAAATGATTCTAATGACATTGTATGGTGTTTTAAAACACAGTGGAGTACTTCCTGAATTAAAACATGACAGGATATTGGTGTTAAACGTGTGAATGAAACTAACACAATTCCAGGTGTGGTTTGGATGAGGAAGTAAGTAAGTAATGTAATATCGGCCCTTTAAATCGATGCCCAAGTGTGGAACATTCCAGGCAAAGCAGTCTCATCTTGGTGGAGACATGCAGCTAGAAGACTCCCCAACAGAAAAGTTTAAGAAAAAAAAAATAAAAAATGCAGTAAATCTTTGTTAAGGAAATCAAGTTCTTGTGACTTTAATGCCAGATTAGCCAGATGTGCAGATGCAGCAGTATCCATAAATAGAGCTATAATCATAATAATGCATCATGTAGCGCCATAACAACCCATCTAACCTTATCAGTTCTTCTCTGTTAGCATTACATTGACCTTGAACTGAGATGTAACTGCGTATTAAAGATGCGTTTGAAAAGGCTAATGGGATTTTGGAACAGTTAGGAACAATAAGAAAATATCTGCAGATTTGTGCCTGCCTCATTAGAGTGTGCACCTCTTCAATTACAAAGCTAAGCACCGCAACATAATGAAGTTAGGCTAAACACATGGAAAATGATCACCCCTTTTATCAACTGATACAAATATGAATCAAGTAAATGCACCATCAGGGTTTTACATAGCTTGACAAATAGCCTGTTCTACTCGTAAACATCAGCTAATGGACTATGACCAGTCTGCTCTTGCTAACAAAATATTCTGTCATTTTTATTTGTGGTTAAAATATCTTACCTGTGTTAAAGCTTCCAGAGAAACTCCAAATGGCGATGCAGAAAAATACCTACAAGGGCTGTGCCGCTATCCACTGTGAAAAAAACCCTCCCACCTGCCAACTCTATCCCAGTATCACACCCATGTTTTGAAACCAGGAAGCTGCACTGCAAAAACTACAATCTAGCCAAATTAAGATTACCTAAATTCAGAAAGTTTGAGTACATTTCACTTGACAAGTAAAAGGAGTTGTAGTTGTAGTTAAAATATGAAAATGCAGCTTGCTAAACTTAAGATAAGAAGACAGCAACTTTTTAAGAAAAATAAGAAACAAAATCTCATATTGCTTGAATTAAGAGAAACACACTTCCCCTGGTAGATAGTTTTACTTGTCAAGTTGAATCTACTCAAATAAGTAAAATGGTCTTATTTAAGTCATTTTAACGTTGCTTTTTGCAGTGTGGAATGTAAGATGAAGCCTGTATAAACACTGGATACATGTTTGGTCCCGAAGGATCCAAGGCACTCCTAGACCAGTTCTCCCACATTAAAATAATATGGAATGCGTATAAGGACAATTTCCCCGCATGCATTGCCTCCCACAGGATTGTTTACGGAGTTAGGAATGCCATTGTAGCTGCTCTTGTGTAACGGTGACATGTTGAGACGAACATTTCTTTGCATGTCTGACTATGTACAGTTTCCTAAGAAGCCTATGGTTTGTTTCTTTGTGAGTAAGATTTTGCAAAAAAGTATTATTTTCTGTGTTTTGTGATAATTACTGAGAAGAGTGTTGGGAAGTTCCAAATGTCTGATATTGAGGATGGATAAGTGTGTAGTCTAATAAAAGGACCACATTTTAAGACTACACATGAAAACATGAGTTAAAAAGCACACCAAAGAGCATCTCATCTTTTTCCTACTACTACTATTACTACTACTACTACTTTTCGTCACTACCTGGAAGTCCATGAAGTGCTCCTTGTTAACATTTGGTCAATATCACAAAGCACTTTTCACATGGGTTGACTGACTGATTGATATTTGCCATACTAATAAACATATAGGACTCTAAGATAAAAACAAAACAAACAAAAAAAACCCAAAAAACATTCAGTTTCAATGACTTATTAATTGTTGTTATGTGTTTATTTTCTCATTTACAGGTCCATCAGGGGAGGTTTTTCAGTTTTCACACAACAAAACATTTTTTCATACACACTCATTCATTACAGTAAGTTGAAATGATTTTACAACAAGTGTTTGCCTAACTCGAGTCTGAAGCTGGGAAGTCCACATCTAGTCCACAACATATAGCACCAATAATATTAAAAAAGATAAGACCATTTTCTCCTGGACAAGATGTTTTAATTTTGCATCTGACATTTTACGCACAATCAGAATAAATCACTCATATTTCTGCCTGTGGAGACTAATATTCTTATTTTGTTGATGAAAACCTTTTCTATAGATGATCTGTTATAGGCTTTATCATTAGGAAACTCCAGTTACAGAGCTGATCTGATACTGTTAATGTATGCATTGTCAGAAAGCACTTACCAAACAGTGACTTGGTCTGCTCACTGGTAAATGAAAAACTGGGGTGTAACACAGTGAAAGAGGCTAATGGAGAATCAATGGCCGGTCTGTCACATATTGATAGCTTTAGTCTGACACTGAATGCAAATGACAGTGACTGCAGTTACATGCTCACTCAAAATCTGATTTCTAACACATTTTTGGACTTTTTAGGGGGATATTAAATGACATGTAAAAAGAGAAATCATCTGACATCTGACTGTGATTTAAATGCCATTTAAAGGTGCAGTACGTAACTTTTCAGGTTTTCAGGTTGGGGGTCCGCTACCATGGAGATGCTATATAGTATTAAACTTAAATAAGAAACATTTATTCGATTATGGGTGTTTTTATTGCTCAAAAATACCTTTAAAAACATGTCTTCTTACAGTGGCTCACCCACCTCTTCATAGATCTCATCTGTAAACTGGCCTTGTGGCGTCTCCTGCGTGTTTCTATGGAGACTGAAAGTTTAATGCCATACTTTTGAATACTGGAAGTAAACCAATAACATCTTCATAGAGACAAGTAATCAGTGGGCCCTCTACCAGAAAATTTACACAATGCATCTTTAAGTAATCTGAAAGGTCCAGATATCAGATTACAATCAGATTTTGGCTGTGTTATATGAACAAGGCCACTGAAATCGCGAAATCTTTTTTTCACCAACAGCACTAAGTATTAACACTATGAAGTTATGGTGATAAAGAAGCTAAAGCAAATAGCACACTCAAACATTTTTATTTTATAAAAGAACAATGGATGAGTGGATTTACAAAGACAGAGAAGTGCAATTAAAATCAAAGTTTTAGAATTTACTGTTTTAATAGCAGTGTTTTCAAGAGCCAAATAATTTATAGTGCAAGAAAATTATTCCATCCTTCTTCAGTAAATCTGTAGATAAGTTATTTTCACTGATAATATCTGTAGTAAAGGATTAAAACACACTTTAAAAACAGACATATGTGTTTTTGTAAATAAACACTTTGGCTGTTTTAGCGTGAATAGAGAATCTTTTATTAAGATAAGAAGGAACAATTTTTCTTGCAGATGTAACAGATAAGTTCATGTCATATGCTGAAAATTTAAAGCAAAGGTGCTGGATCCTCTATTAAAATTGCACTGTGTAACTTTTCAGGAGGAGGATCCGTCACCTGCTTGTCTCCATGGAGATATTACTGTTTTGCCTTCAGTATTCTACAGCATGGAAATACACTTGGTAATCACAATGGAGACAGGTTAATGGTCAGGTCTTTAGAGAAGCAAGCCTGCACATGGTAAGAATTCATGTTTTTAAGGTTTTTTGAGCTATAAAACACCTGCAATTTAACAAATGCAAAGAAGATATGTTTAATGCCCTATTATGGAACGTTCCAGGCAAAGAAATAAGATTTCCATGGAGATAAGAAAGTAGCGGACCTCCACCTTAGAAGTAACATAGTGCACCTTAAATGGTTTTCAGCTTCCTGATTTTGAGGACTTTTTAACATTCAAAAGACAGGACATTTTGTTTATTTCAGTTTTCATCATTCCAAAACCCATGGATACCTGATGTCTCCTACTATCCCATAAACAAACTAATTTTAAACCCCTTTTGTGGTTTTGTATTAGCATACTCAAACATACATTTATTTGCAAAACCTGCCTTTAATAATCGCACAGTTGAACATTCATCTAGCGGCCCATTATATCATAAAGCTCCACTTTAACTATAGCTCTTCCCACTGTGGACATAGTGGCCCGCACATCCAGATGGGCTCCCTGAAACACCAGCCCACTCCCATTGGTGTCAGCCCTCACGAAGTTACTCATATCCTTCCCCTCATACATCAGGGTGTACAACTGTTTATCGCATTCTTGGCTGTGCTCAAAGATACCAATTGCCAGCTTATTTTTATACAGATTGCGATCAAAAGGGACGGAGAACATGATGGCCATCCGCTCAGTGTACTGGCGTTTCTGCATGTGGAAGATGTCATAGGTCATCAGGCCCACAGACCCGGTGACGGTGTTGTCATCTTTGGTGAAGCTACACACTTCGGTTTTGGCGGTGCAGATGGTGGGCTGAGGGGGGTGCTGGGAGAAACCACTGACCATGTAAACCCTGGGTAGAGAGAGAAAAGCAGATGAGAATGAGATTAAGGGTCCTATATTATGCAAAATTGACTCATGTCAGGTTTTAGTCATGTTGGACTGTTGTTTCCTCTTGAAAAACATATACCTGGAGTTGTGTTTTGTTTCATTCACATGTTTAAGTATTCTTTTATTATTAGTTTGTCCACATCTCCAAAGCTTAAAATGCTATGATCCAATTTGTGACATCATGTAGTGGTAGTTTTTAAGTCAACAGCTACAGTTTACCTTTTAGTACAGAGCGGTAATTCTAGGGACAAAATTATCCATATGACTCTAGTGAAGGTGTGGGGAGTGTCAAAATACAGTGGAGAGCTTCCTGTATTACCACATGACATGTGTTTTCAGCCTAAATATGCAGAGGTTGTGTATTAAACATGTGTAAATGAAGCAAAACACAACTCCATTTATGTTTGTGATGAGGAAACAACATTATAACACAGATGAGAAAATAGCATAATATTTAATTGCTAACAAAAACAAACCATTTGACATTAATATGCACTTGTGAGTTATCCGTATAGTTACATACAGTGTTCTGTTTTGATTTCCATAACCCTCATGGACATGGACAGTATTGTACAATGACCCTTATTTGCCATTGGGATTTTATTATAATTTATAACAGTAAAAAGTATAACAGTTTTAAATAATTGGATACTGAAATGGGTGAAATTTTGAAAGATTGCTGCTATTTTATTTTGGGTTTTAATAAGCCCCCATGGGTAAGAGGAGGTCTCCCCTTGCTGTCTTATCAGTTTTACTCATGCAAGAAATTGGTAAAATTAGTTCCACACTTTTTTTTTTTTTTTTTTTTTAAACAATACTGCAACTTTTTGTCTTAAATGTGCATGGCCAGGACAATGATTTGCACATGATCTGGTATCATCTGGTATAACTATCATATTCCTCATGGGTTTGGCTGTGGCACATGCATTTTTAAAAACGTTTTATATGTCTCCTTCCTGGCTGATGGTCCTTTACTTGATGTTGTCGTGGAGATGTGACTGTGCCCCACAGTATGGAAATAAACATATCTGTCTCCAAGTAGGTAAGTCAATAGTCAGATCTGTGCAGAGGCGAGCCTGCCTCATGTTTTTCCAAGGCATTGTTGAGCAATAAAAACTGAACTGAATAATATATAAGTTCATGTCATACTGTGGAACATTTAGAGCAAAGAATTTCCAGAGACAAACACGTGTTGGATCCTGTATTAATGTGATTCAGCTTCACGATTTTTGCAACACTTTTAATATTGAAAAGATAGGACATTTAGTAAATTTCAGTCTTCATCATTCCAAAACCCAAGGATAGCAGAAAAGTTCCAAAATGCTTCTTTAACACTAATTAAAACCGTAAGCGTTGATAATTCTCCCTATTTCCACCATTAACTCCTCTGCCACCTTTTCCCGATCATAACTTCACTTCTGATAAAACTGAGAAACTTTATTGTCAGTTTAACGTAGTTTTGTCACACTGGGTTTCCACGGCGACTGCTTTATTCTGATGGATGTAGTGTGAGAGTGTGGACTGGTGAGCTTCAGTGCGTGTACCTGGGCGCGGTGCAATGAGGCAGTACATGTCACTGGCTGATGGATAGGCAGGATGCTCTCTGCAAACTGATGTCACACATGAACCCAGCCATCTCACACATACACACACATACACACACCTACACACACATACACACACCTACACACACACACATACACGCTGTTCCCATGCACATGCTATGATACCAACAGAGCTGCATGGGAAATGTGGACCTGTGCATTTTTCAAATTTATCACTGCTAAAATTATCTGACAGGCGCCAATGATAAAAATGCACTCTCTTGAAATCGTGAAATAGAAAATACCATTGCAATTTGTCTCTTTTTGAAATATAACTTTTGTCATGTAGCTTTTTCTGTGGAGAGTCCAGCACCTGCTTGCTTCCATGGCTTAAAAACCTTGCATTCTCATTGTTAATGGGCAGCTTCTCCACAGATCTGACCTGTAATTTGGCCTTGTGGCGGCACTTGTTTATCTCCATATATTTACTGTGAAGCATTCTAAAATAATAACAGCGACACCCACCAAAAAAGTTACATAATGCAGCTTTAAAATATTCAGATCTTTTTGGTTTAAAGAGTATTGTGATGTTATTGAAGGGGCAACGAAAAACAATGCAGATTTAAAAGTTCTAAAAGATCTGGGTGGGAAAAAAAAGTGGTTTAATCTTGTTAAACTTCATTAAGAATGTAAATAAGGCCTGATTTGGTTTACCTTGCTGAAAGCTTAAGTCTCAACTTTTAAAACTCTAATATAATCTTTTTTGGATGAACATGGCAAATCCTGCAATAATTAATAACTAAAAAGACAACATTTAAAGTTTCTCACCATACCATATTATAAACACATATTTATTTAAAACACACATGTAAGGAAGGGAGCACTTACTTGGGGTTGGTGAGACAAAAGTTGCTGCTCACATTGGTGATTTCAACAGTGCAGTTCCTGTTGGTGAGGAGTTTAGCTGACACTTGCTCTGCTTTTTCTGGCATGTTGACTAGAAATGAAACATAATAATAACTTTTATTTATCATAGCTTAATTGTGCACTTTAAGGTAACTTTTTGGTTGGGGGTCTGTCACCTTCTTCTTTCTATGGAGATGTCATTGCTCTGCTTTGAATATTCCACAGTATGATATTAAACAGATGTTCCTTACATGTACTCAATAACAGGTGGTTTTATAGCTCAAAAATACATAGAAAAACAGGCATTCTGACTATGAGTGGGGTTGCCTCCCCACAGATTTGACTAGTAACTTGTTCTGGTTTGGTCGCCATGATAATAGAAAGGTCATACTGTGAAACATTCCAGACAAGGCATTAACATCTCTATGAAAAAAAGAAGAAAAGCAGCACCCTCCACCAGAAAAGTTACAGTTATCTTTAAGCACTGCCCAAACCAATACTTCAAATGAAAACGTTGAAAAATAAGTTGCTAGTCTAGTTTATAATAGAGTTTAAAATAGACAGCATAGCTTCCAAAGCATTAGCAAAATTAACTCCTAGTCTTACACCTATCCACATCAGATGAATATATATATTAACTTTAGGTACCTTCTGGGATCTGGAGTTGTTACCGACAGCAGAGGTGATTTTGCAGGCTGGTGCTGGTGCTGTGTTTCTCTGTGAACACACCTTTACTGAGGCTGTATCAAAGCAAGCTCGGGCGTGCCTCCTACAGTGAATACAGTTCTAGTCCAGAGAAGAGAGAGAAACTATATACCTTTATATTGTTATGTCTAACTATTATGGTGTCAGTGGCTTCGGGTGTTTTGCTTAAATATTTTGTTCATGGTAATAAGATGCTGAATTTATCACAAATAAGGAGAGATGACTCAGCAAAAATACTTTTAAAGAAATGCTATGTTTTTTGTGTTTTTTTCAGGTATTTAACATTAAGGATAAGTAGATCACCATTTATGCTTTGTTCACTGCACGATGTAATATAATCTAAAAGAGTTTAGTAATAGAATAGAAAAGAAGCTGGTCACATCCACACTGAAGACTAAAGAGTTGAGAAGCCACGCCTTTTTCATACTGGCATGTCATTATAACAAGTAGAAGATTTTCATTTACTTGTTTTTATTTTTGGAGAATGACTACTGAACATTCTTAACCCTACATGCATAACTTGTAATCATAATTTATTAAGTAACTGTAACAAAACACAGGGATGTGGGCACAGGGGCGTGGGTATAGGTGATAACAGAAATATTTTTAAGCCTCAAGCTTCAAATGCAGGACAATACAAGGTTACTAAAATGTGTTTGAGTTGTTTGAGTTAAAGTTGCATTATATAGCTTTTCTGGTAACGGTCCAGCACCTGGTTGTGTCCATGGAGATATGCTACGGAGATTGCTTTAAATGGAATGTACCACAATACTTCATTAAACTTGCTTATTATTCAGTTAGAAGTGTTTTTTATTTATTTATTTATTTATTTATTTTAACAATAGAACAATAAAGCAATACCTTCAATAATATTTACTGTATGCAACCCACCGTTCCATAAATCGGACATGTATAGGACCTTGGCAGACCTTCCACCCAGAAAGCTATCCAGTGCACCTTTAAGTATATTTCAGTCATCAACATAAGCAAAAGCAATGCCAATAAATCAGCTTGAACTGACTTTTATTTCTATTGTCCATACAGTAGAGCTTAAACTTATTCAGACAACTTGCATTTTACTTGTATTTGTAGTAAACATGATCTATTTGTCCAGGAGTCTTGTGAAAGCCTCCTGCTCAGTCTTGTTTGGACTCGACCACATTTCTCTTGTTTGCTGTAACCGTAGGTGACGAGTCCGGACACACACAGGAGGATTGTGTGTGCGTCAGTCCCACATTTCAACGCTCTGTCCAAAGCCATGAGTCCTCCGAATGTTCCAGTCTGATCCTTGTGGAAATACCAGCAACACAAAATGGACCACTCCCTTTTCCCTGTCACAGAGTCGTAAAAGGGAGGGTGGACAAAATGTTACGCAAAAATATTATTAAAAAATAGGCCTAAGAAGTAGTTGAAAACGCTTCATAATAAAAGTAACTAGTTGGAAGTAATGGTAGTAGCAGGAGTATTGATGAAATGAAACCTAACTATGTGAAAATGCTGTTTTAAAATACTGTTGTTGTTGAGGTGCAATATGGAACTGTTCTGGTAAGGGTCCACCACCTGTTTGTCACCATGGAAATGTTATTGCATCACTAGGAATGTTCCACAGTTTGGCATTAAACATATAGACAAAAACTACTTCATTAAAGTTGTTTTTATTGCTCAGAAATAAACTTAAAACATGCTTTCGTACTCTCCAGTTTCCACAAACCTGAGCTGTAACTTGACCTAATGGTGCCATCTGTTGACTCCAGTAGAAAAGTAAATTGTAAATAAATTGTAATCTATTTATCTAAGATTGTGTGTTTTTAACATATTTAATATTTATTGTGATTTTAGCCAAGCATTATGGATGAATTTAACTAATTGTTTATGGAACAAACCATTCTGCACTGGAGCACTGTAACGCTTTATTTTGTAATTGTGTTTTATACGTGTTTTGTGGATGAATGAAATGTGAAATGTGTGGCCTGCCTCTCAAATCTGAAAAGCAAATTTACCTATGGGTACGAATAAAGCAACCTAACCTAACCTAAAAGTTTCATAGTGCATCTTTAAAGTAGAAAAATGTAAAGAACAATGCACAAATGTTTTAATTTTACCATTTCACATCAGAACAATGGGATACATCACGCACATTTAGTGAATAGTAGTTTAGCTTATTTTATTTGTCACATAAACACATGCACACAGTACGATATGTAGTAAAATTCTTATGTTCCATCCAGCAACATAAGGGCAATCAGTAAATATATGAAATAAATAGAGGAGAGAGTTGGGTGTGGCTCACTCCTGGTTTAACAGTTTTAGGCCTTGGGATAGAATCTCCTCCTCCTCATCCTCTCAGGAGCAGTCTGTAGTCATGGTGACATTAGTAGCCAGATAATAATAATGCATTTGATTTATACAGCACTTTTTGGAACACTCAAACACAACTAATGGTGCTAAACTGCTATTGTACCCACAGCTGACCTGGGGCAAACTGACGGAAGCGAGGCTGCCAATCTGCGCCATCAGCTCCTCTACCTGAAATTCCAACACTAGCATTCTCATTCAAAATATATTTACTCAAGTATAATTTTAGTTTAAGTCATCGTGCCTTAAAGAAACATATTATTCTGAATGTAACTGGGGTAAACCATGACTAACTGGATGCACTGATCCCCTATGCACTGTTATCCCTGACAATGTATATCTTGTTAATTAGCACTCTGGAGCTTGACTTTCAGCTGTGTTCATTATGTCTCTAGTAATAATACGGCATCTGTTTCTTTCCCATACAGACAGAAGGAGGCTGGGATTCAAGTCTTTCGAATACTTGAAGTCACCAGATGGCACCAAACATGCATACAATACTCTGCATTTGCACTACACAGGCAGTTCTCTATGTCAATGTTTGCTATGTTATTGAGAGATAATATATGTATAGAGAAATGTCCATGAAAGTCTATATTTAATTGCATATATATTGAGTTAAACCCTATGATATTAAAACAACTTTGGAAAGTATTTTAAAGACGTTCCTATAAATAGGAAGAAGTTATGAAGACAAAGGTTCAATGATTGATTTTTATTTTTAGAAATCATAAAACTTTACATATCTCATTTGGTGTAATATGAAACTACAATTATTATTATGAATTCTATCAAGACACGTCAATTTCCCTGTTATCCTGCCATAAAGTTATCTGAGTGGTTTTGGAGAACACTTTAGGACCAATTAGGAAACTGACAAAAGAACAGAATATGGGCCATTACTATTCATGAACACTTTGAAAAGATGACAAAGATAAATGTGCGTTGTGAGAATGAGAATGTATTTAATTATAAGCGCTGCTTTACGAATACCTGGCACCTTGTCACTCTTTTCATGACACTTTCTGAGGTAATATTTTGACATAAAAGAGGCGAGGTTAGTCACTATGAATAGCAATCATTTTCTCTTGTTATTGTCATGCATGATATTACTGTTTGTATTTTGACTTTGATTAGAGACAGGTTATAAAAATTAATGTTAAAGGTCCACTGCACAACTTTTTTGGTGGTCTGCTACCTACTTGTCTCCATGAAGATGTTATTGCTTTGTTCGGAATGCTCCATGGTATGACATTAAGCACATACATCTAACATTTATTCATCACATGTGTTTCTATTGCTCAAAAATACAATAATTCCTTCTGTGAATATTGGCCACTCTCCACAGATATGAATAGTAATGTAGCATAGTGCTGTAACCTGCTCGTCTCCCTTGTGACTGTGGAACATTCTAGACAAAGCAATAATGTTTCCATGGAGACAAGCAGGTGGCGGACCCTCCACTAGAAATGTTACGCAGTGCACCTTTTATTGACTCTTCCAGTAAAGTTGCAACATCAACTAAAAGGACTGTTGTATTTTTAACCTAATTAATATATATAATTAAATAACAAATAGTGTTGCATTAGATTTATGTAGCGCTTGACATGCATTATTCATTCACTACTATATATGGTGTGGTTTTATTTGTACAGGGACAGGGCACAACAATACATTAATCAAGACAAAAGTCATAGGAGAGATGCTTGTGCCAGGTTCCAGCGTGGATGTTAATTTACACCTATAGTCCCTGAGCAGGTTGGTGGAAAAACTGAAAATACGATTTCAATGTATATAAGTGAACTAACTACAAATAAAGTAAACATGATCAGATACTACCCGTTGATGGTAAAATACAGATGCTGCCCTAGGGTAGACTGACAGAAGCGAGGCTGTCAATATATGCCATCGGCCCTTTCTACAGCCAATCACTCTCTCCCACACAAGTGTCTTGCCTAAGGACACAGCAACAGTTTGCATTAGAGCTACTGCTTCCTCAATACAGCACATGGTATTCCCAGTAGTCTCCCATCCAAGTACAAACCCAACTCTGCTCGTAGCATCCGAGCTCAGAAGAAATTGTGCATTCTCAAGGTGATTTATCCTCCCTTGCAACTACAGTAAATATGATACAGGTGATACAACAGAACGATAAGGACCTCTAGTGCCCAGGTGTGGAATATACTACTACTACAAATCTGCACCCATACACCATATTGTACTTTATTTCTTCCACAATGTCCTTTTGAAGCTCAACCTCTTAAAAGTCCACTTCAAGATGTGCATTTCTCTGTTTATATTACCTGATGTCTAGGGTTTTATTTGACCTTTTTCTATAGCCATCTGTTGTTTCACTTTCAAATGTAATATCGACGTGTACGGGCGCCTGGGAGGGACAGGCCACTTAGGGCTGTGCACGGAGGCTCCATGTAGATTGCTCCTCATGCAGGCTCTTGCACAGATGAGGCTGACTCAAATTAGAAAACCTCTGTATGATTTTGCATTAAGAACACTAATAATTTATTCATTTGTTTGTATTAGGGCTTTGCAGACTATAGATGTTGATATTATAGCTAACACTTGTGGCCATACCAGCTTGTCAAAGACTGATCCTGTCAGATCTCAGAAGTTAAGCAAGGCCGGACCTGGTCAGTACTTGGAATGGAGACCACTGGGAAAATCAGGTGCCACAGTGGGGTGCCAGTCATAAAAACTTTCACTGTGT